GATCATAGTCCCTCAATTACCCTTTCGAAGCTACCTTCGGTAAATGATCTAGCCCCTTACGAAAATTTCTAAAGCATCCTTACCAATTGCCTTCGATGACTGTACGAAGACCCTCGCCCGTCCCTTCATATCCAACGATTGAGCTTCCTACTAACTAATGGTACGAATATCACTATCTAAAGGAGGAGGAAAATACAAGAATGACCTTGAGTAAGGTAGATCTTAGCTCGCTCACAAAAAAAATAAAACATTTTATACACTCTTCAAAATATTTTCAAATAAACACTTTGTACGCATTCTTGAGGACAAATACGAGAGCCATTACAAATTTTTGCCTTACATTGGCAACTTTTCTAAATGTTTTTTAAAAATACACAACACAATGCAATTGTCAATAAGTGAGCTAAACGGTTAAGAGCCCGTAGATAACTACGGTTGAAAAGGGTGCTAACACCTTCCCTTTTCATAACCTACCCCCCGAACTCAAAAATATCAAGGTCTTTCCTGTTATTTTCACCCTTCCCTTATTGGATAAAAGAAAAGTCGGTGGCGACTCTTGCTATCCGCAACATTTTCCATAAATGCAAAACCAAGTCACTTCTCCCACCGTATTACACTAGGGAAAACTAGAAATCAATTTCCAGCCCTCCTCAAGGCCAAAAGATCATTCCACTCAATCCCTGAGATACTATAGAGTAAGTTTGAATCATTCTTGATGATCAAAAGTTCCTGAAACGTGCATTCCAAGCATCACCGTTTTGCATATTTTTGTGAATTTCGTATTTTAATATTCATGATATTTTGATTGAAACTAAAAAATCTAATGTGTTCCTGCGACGAATTAATGCATGTTTGATCCCTTCCATAATGCCCATGATTCCAGAATAACCCATCACCATTCTTACATTGATTTGCTTTGTTTTCATCGTATCTCATTGTACAGGTCGAATTAGCCTAAACTAACGCCACCATTGGATTCACAAGGGTCGATTTAGGGGGGTAGGGTTTTTCTTGATCTCTAACATTTTCTATTTTTGCAAGTTGACAAAATCACCTCACCGGAGCTAGGATTGTGGCGCCTCTCCGATTCACTTATTTAATATATATTTATTTGTTTGTTTTTGTATAACTGGATGAGAGTGTAGCACCACTGGTTAAGGCATTGGGTTGTGAACATAAGGGCGTGGGTTCGATCCCTGCGTGTTGCAAATATTTTTTGTTATTTTCCATCTAACGCGCAGGTTTTCAATATATTATACAACGCCTATTTTCAAACACCAACAGGCGCTTGGCCTGGTGGAAAGCAGTGCAACATGAAAGCCATGAGGGAGTGGGTTCAACACCCACCCCATGCAATCTTTTTTCCTACTTTTAACCTAATTTGCTTTCTTTTTCTTTTTCTAACCCTAATTTTTTTAATTAATCAATCATTAGACTAACCTAATTTTTTTCTAATACTAATGAATTAGGTTTAGGTTTTTTAACTAACATTTAATTTTCTTGATTTATTTAATTAATTAATCAACCCTTTTCTTAAATATTAAAATCAATTAGAATTTAGGTTTTAATTACTATTATCAGTCAACTTATTTTTCAAAAAAAATACAAAAACATTCAAACATTTTTCTAACATTTTCTTATTTATTTTTCTATTTGATTTCTTAGAGAAATTGTATAGGTCGCACAACTTTTTCTTGTAATATCGTAGATTTACATTCTTGCATTTTTACCTATTATGTAACTGCTCACAGGATGTAATAGCTTAGATTTATATTCCGCGCTTTTACTTTTCTGTATTTTCTTATGTAACTGCCCCAAAGCCCTGTAATACCTTAGGTCTTTACTTTCCGTAATTTAACTTTCTGTATATATTTAACTGCTTGTAATTAGGATTGTATAGCAAGACTAATAATCAAACATATAAAACCCTAATTTTAAGATAAATAACTGAAATCAATACACTCTTTACACTTGCACCCATAGGGTACCCTATCTTGTTGCCTTCAGAAATAATGGTCATGTCCCTCGAAAAAAGGGATGCTTTAGAAAAAGACCCTCGAATAAAGATCATAGTCCCTCAATGACCCTTCGAAGTTGCCTACAAAAATGATCTAGTCCCTCTGATACAAATTGCTAAAGTATCTCTACATGTTGCCTTCAATGACCATTCGATGACCCCACGCATGTCTCTTCACATCCAATAGATAGGGCTACCTACCAACTAATGGTATGTATAAAACTATCTCTAAAGGAGAAGGAAAGGAATAATAACGAACTTTATTGGGTAAGGAACTCTTAATCGCTTTCTCACAACTCTTTTCTGAAATAAACATTTTTTCACATTACACTTTTCAAACAAAATATTTTCAAACACTTTGTATGCATTCTTAAAGACTGATACAAGAATCTTTACAAAGTTGGTCGTACTTTGACTTTTCAGAAATATTTTCAAATCACACACACAAAGCAAATTTTCAAAAGTGAGTTAACTATCAAGAGCCCGTAGATAACTATGGATGAAAAGGGTGCTAACACCTTCCCATTTCATAACTTACCCCCCCCCCCCCCCCCCCCGAACTCAAAATCTATCAAGGTCTTTCTTGTTCTTTTCAACCTTTTCTTATATTGGATAAAAGAAAAGTCGGTGGAGACTCTTACTATTCGTACATTTGGATAAAACCAAAAAAGTCAGTTCTCCCACTGTATTACATATTCTTAATGATATTCTTATCTTTTACAAATATGCCTATTAAGGCTTGGAAGAAGATAGTGAAGATCCATAGGAAGTTTATTTGGGGAGGAGTTAAAGGGGAGTCTAAAATCTCCTGGGTCAAGTGGGCGTTTGTCTACATGCCCAAAAAGCTTGGGGGTCTTGGGGTGAGTGACCTTCGGTTGGTTAACTTGGCTATTTTTAGATAAATGAAGGTGGTGCCTTATTTTTGGAACTTCTGGTATTTGGCGATATATTGTTATGGTGGAGTGTGTTCTCCCTTCTTGGTAGTAAGGCTAATGACACTTCTGATTAGTTCAGAGACGGTCTCTCTTTGAAATTTGGATCTGGCCTCCTTACCTCTTTCTGGGATGACCCTTGGATTGAGAATACCCCTCTTCGGCCTATATTCCCTAGATTGTTTCACATCTCTAACCAAGTTTCTAAAATGATATGGGAGGTTGGTAGGTGGGAGGGTGATTGTTAGAGTTGCGATCTAAGGTGGTAGAGACCTTTTTCTTTTTGTTTATGAGGAGGCTCTTTTATTGATCTTCAGTATGTGGTTAGTGGTTTTAGACCATCGTTGGATATGATGTGATTCAAGTGATGTTTTTTATTCTATGTCTTCTGCTTACTCTAGTCGTCTCTCTCGTCAATTCCCACCCGATCAACATGTCCCTCTTGTTGACTTAGTTCTCCCGTCTATTTGGGTTAGTTGTGCCCCCTCTAAAGTTATAGTTTTCTCTTGGCAATTGCTTAGGGATTGTATCCCTACCAGAGATAACTTACTTAAGAGGGGGAATTCAGTTGACCTCAGGGACTCTTACCTGCCCCTTTTTTCTGCTTTTTTGTTGATTTGTCCTCTCATCTCTTTGTGACTTGTGAGTTTGTGTCCTCTATTTGATATAAGATTTTTAGATGGTTGGAGCGATGTTCTATTTTTCCAGAAATATCTTGACCCTTTTCTAGTTGTAATTTCTCTTCAGTGGTGGACATAGGACTAGAGGGCAGTTGTTGATGATTTGGCATGTTGTGGTCTGGTCCATTTGGAAATCTAGAAATGATATCATTTTTTTTTGTTCTGAGGTGACGATAAAAGATGTGGAAGATATGAGTATTGTGTTGGCTTGGAAATGGTTCTTCGATAGGTTACGTGGGTCTCTTGTACCTTCTCATCTTGGCTTGAGAATCCTTTCATGTATATGAGCTAATAGTGGAGTGAGTGGCTTCGGCCTCCCTTTGGGTGTGTTCTTGTCGGTTTTTTGTGGTTTGTTTTTGCAGGTGTCCCTGGTTGGATAATTTTGTCTAGATTCTGGGTTAGTGTCTTCTCTCCAGCGTGGCTTTCCCTAACTTGGTGGTTTGTTGGATTTGTACTTGAGGTTTTCTCTTTTTCAGCCTTGTGTGAGCTTTGTTGTTTAGTTTTTGTTTCTATTATTTGGCACTCCTTGTGTCGTTCTCTTTATTGGTCTATATGCACTTTTGGTTGTTAGTGTTTTTCTATTTTTTTATATATTATATTTGCCTTTAAAAAAAGTGTTAAAGTTATCTATTTATAATACTCTAAGGAGAGAATTCTAGACACACTAGTTTTAGAGAGTCGCCAATTCTAAAAATCTCAATAATATTCTAAAAATATTATCGAAACTTACCTAAGTCTAAAATATCTAAACTCCAAAAATTAAAATATAAATAATAAAATTAGGCTCAAATCAAGATTAATATCTCAAACACTTTATTTGTCTCTAATTTAATTTTTTTTTATTTGCATTATTATTAAATACAATTTATATTTATTTATTTATAAAAATATTAGACAAAATTATATCCAATTATACCAAACATGTTAATTAAGAAGAAAAAAGTTAAACGAAGTTACATAATTTTTTTATAGAAATTAAAATAAGTTATAAACTTTATTATTATTGTTGTTATTATTATATTAGGAAACTTATAAAACATATTAACGCGTACTCTAATAGAATCGATTAAGTTTAAATAAGGAAGTTATAATAAAATATATTTTATCATGATTTAAAAAAAAGGCAGAATAGAATCCAAACCGATAAACACGGAAAGAAGTTAAATTCAAATATGTAAACTTATGGAAGTATTTTTCTTTTCCAAGTTTAAGACTTCAGAATCCTTTTTTAGCAAATTTGTTGGGATTCTAATGTAGTGATGGAGTTGCTCTTATATAAGGTAACTTTTTCACAACTTAGAAACCCTAGCTAAAAGCATATTTGTTTTAGGGTTTGTGCTTTGTTTTCACCTTAAAGCACTCCTTGCCGTCATGGATGTTTGTCTGATTAAGAAGCAACTTCAATCCACTGCACCCTTGCCGTTGGTATTCATTCCCGAGGAACTCATAGCTGAAATCCTATCCTTGCTTTCAGTTAAAACTATATCGCGATTCAAATGCGTGAACAAGTTATGGAACACACTCATCTCTGATCCAACCTTCGTTGATAAGCATCTTAAGAAGTCATCACAAAAACAACATCTCATTGTAGTATGGAGGGATACCAGAGATTTAATTATGGTACCATTCCCATTGTATGATTTACACCAAAATCCATCCATCACTCGTTGTTTGAATGACGACTACTATACCGTTGGAACTTGCAATGGATTGATCTGTTTGTATACTAAATCTCTCTACAAAGTATCAAGGTCTGTTGAGTATATGGAGTACTCAATCCATTTGTGGAATCCTTCCACCAGAAAAAAATCTGAAAAACTAGTGTCTTTTAGTTATTTTAGTTATAACCTGAAAAAGTTTTTTAAATTTGCATTTTGTTATGATGATTCAAAAAAAACTTACAAGGTTGTGGCTTATCATATTCAGTCTTGTACCAAAAGTGAGGTTAAAGTTTTCAGTTTGGTTGGTAATGTTTGGAGAAACATTCAAAGTTTTCCGGTGGTTCCTCTTAATTGGACATATTATGAAACCTGTCCTTACAATGGTGTGCATTTGAGTAACACTATTAATTGGTTGGCTATTAATGAGTATTCCTATTCTTCTTACCAATACAGGGATATTACTCACGTTGAACAAATTGTGATTATTTCACTTGATCTTTCGACTGAGACATACAAAGTGTTGCTTATGCCTCAAGGTTTAGTTGAGGTACCAAGGATTCAGCCGGTTGTTAATGTTAATGTTTTGATGGAATGTCTTTGTTTTTCTCACCAAGTGGAAGATGAATTTGTTTTATGGCAGATGAAAGAGTATGGAATTCAGGAATCTTGGAGTCAATTATTTAAGATTAGTTATCAAATCCTTCCCATGGATTTTAAAGATGAACGGTTTCGAATGGCTTGCATATATAAAAATGGTGATATGGTGATATTTGTCAGTGATTGTCACTACGATAAAGTGATATATAATTTGAGAGATAAAAAAGTAGAGACACTTATAGTTAATGGCTGCGGGTACTGGTTCGGTCATGTAAATGTTTATGGAGAAAGCTTGGTTGCGGTTTGTTGAGAGTAAGTTTCTCATAGATGGTTTTTCATGTTATTTTTGTGTTATGATTTTTCACTTCTACTCTAATAGCTTACCTTTTTATATTTGATGCGCAGTCCTGGCTCTTGGAAATGGAACTATTGTGTTGGGATGATGCATGGATGAGACAATCGGTTATATTTCCTTAATAGAATCTACATTAGAAATACTAATTTATATATATCAGTTTATGCAAATCTTTTCATGTTTGGAAAAACCACACCCACTTGTCTCAACGCTTGTGATCTGTGGTATATATAATTAAGTTATTGCCGATTGATTTAGCATTATATAGAATATGAAGATTCAGTTTGACTTCTTTTCTAGAATTTATCTAATCAGAATTTAGTGCTTCTGGCCTCTCTTCTTTGTTATATTTCCTTAAGTTTGTTTATTAGCTAACATTATTGTTTAGTCCAAACTGAAAATATAATAATTCTTAAGTAAATTTGTGTCTTACTTCTTCAAGAAGAATTAGAATCCTCGTAAAATTGCGGCAACTGCATTAAGTAAAATTAAAAATGACCCTTTCGTAAGGATAACACGTTTGTGTCGCCTTAATATAAGATGACACAGTTACCTGCTCTATCTTATTGTTTGACTCCAGATTTTTTGAGATTCTTCATATTTTTCTCATACATACAACATGGTCGTAGGTGATAACTCCACCTAATTGTTTTAATGGTTGTTTTTCATAAATTTTCTTTTTTCAGCACTTTTCATAAGAAATACTTTAAAATGTTGTTTTGTGAATTTTTTTTTACAATAATCAAGTATTAAAATAATATTTCGCAAATAACCGTGTTTCGGAAAAAATTACGCAAATAACCATGTTTCGGGTGACTCCTCAAAGGAGGAGCCATCTCACTTGGCGCCTCCACCCCTAGATTTGCCCTAGGCGCCATCTCACTTGGCGCCTCCCTTCACTTTTAGTCAAGTGAGATGGCGCATGCTCCTTAAAAGTGAGAGGAAGCCCCATCTCACTTGGCTCCTAGGGCAAAACTAGGGCAAAATGCTGTTTTATAAATAATTCGTCTGTTTCTCCGAAATTTCGCACACTTTCTCGCACTGTATTTTTATTTTTTACTCTGTTATTTGCGTCATGACGTCGCCCAGGATTTTTAGCAGAGATGGTTACGTTATCTTCTCCACCACGAAATCTGCGATGAAAATGAAAGGCACATTCACTCCATGGAGCGTCTGAGAGACATTGCGGAGGGGGAAAAATTCGAAGGATCCAGCGAAAACGAACAACAACCTCACATGCGACAGGAAGACCTAATGTATGGTTGGAGGAAGTCAAAACAGACAACGATGTAATGTTGATGATGCATGGGTCAGATGAAATTGTGTTAACAGTTGTAATTTCGTAGACAGAATATCATTAATTTTTCTTGTACGCGCAATATTTATTGTAGCAAAATCTGTTAACGGAAAACCCTAATGTTTACAACATAATTAAGGAAAGATTTTATGTATTACAATTTTTATGTGGTCGAGGCAGACGCCCGATTCAGACAATTTTTGTGATTGTGTCCGACCTGACGGCATAAATCACACTTTCTTTCCAACTTGTCAAGATCGTCCATTTCTGTTGTGACGCGCTTACTTTTGGGACGACCCTTCTTGTTCCTTCGCATTTGGTCATTGTGCCACACTATTTCGCCGTCGTATGCAGGCTAATAATCTGGTTTTGCTACCAAAGGAAAGTTGTTGTTGTAAACGTTGAGCAGCGTTTCAGATTTGTAAATGTTTGACAGAAGTTGCAGCGCGTCTTGATGGGTATGAGCACAAGCGACAATGACATGAGAGCAGGGCATACGAAATGCTTGAAACCTGCCACAATCGCACCAATGAGAAGGTAGCATGACCCTATATTCTTGTCTTGGCAGGCCTTCGTTGTGGTCGATTGTCTCTTTCACAATGAAGTTGTAGCTGTGTCGGTCAAACCGTATAACCATATGAGTGTTGGCTTTGGCACTTTATGCCTTAATGTATTTCATGTAGCTTTCACTCCATAGTTATCCAGATTGCAACACTGCATTCCATATTTCACCTCTTTTGGCAAATAACGCAGCCATCCTAAAATACGTAGATTTTACCAAAGCAGTGATCGGGAGGTTTCGTATGCCTTTGAATACCCCATTCATTGATTCAATAAGATTCATTGTCATGTTCTCCCATCTTTGGCCATTGTCGTATGACCTAGTCCATTTTTCCACCGGAATATTGTCGATCCACCTACCGGCTTCTGGATTTGACAAACGGATCTCGTTGCGGTAATATTTGAATGTGGGTTGTGTCAATGCATATCCCGTATTCATAACCGCTTTCCTTAATGTTTTGACCTTCATCTCCCTCGTGAAATTCTGGACGATATGCCTAACGCAATAGACATGCGTAGAAGGAGGGTCATGCCAACCGTTTGCAGGATTATTGTAGGCACTTTCAATGGAGGCATGTCTGTCTGAGATCAAACAGAGATCTGGTTGAGGAGCCACGTGTGTCCGCAGATTTTTCAGAAAAAAGCTCCAAGCACCACTGGTCTCCCCCTCGACAAGGGCAAAGGTAATGGGGAAAATGTTGTTGTTGCCATCTTGTGCAACTACCATCAGTAGCGTGCCTTTGTACTTCCCATACAACCGAGTCCCATTAATTTGTATAATTGGTTTGCATGATGCAAACCCTGTGATGCAAGGTTGAAATGCCCAAAACACTCGACTGAATATTCCGTTGCCGTTTTAGTAGACTACCATCTTGGGTGTATGCTGACACTGTTTCCAGAACGTAAACAGTACCCGGAGAATACATCTTGAGTGCATTCAGGTAGCGAGGAAGTTCTTGGTATGACTCCTCCCAGTTTCCGTACACCTTTTCAATCGCCTTAGTCTTTTCTAACCACGCCTTACGGTAAGACGGAGTGTAGTTAAAAACCGTGGTGATGTAGGAGATGATTGTTTTCACCTTTAAAGATGGGTCGTTGCTGACCAGGGGTAGGATTTCTTGACAGATGAGATCGTAGTTAAGTTTTCGGTGGTCTTGTGATTGGGTAGAACTTACACAAGTGTGGGTAGTCATGGAACCTATGACCCAACAGTCACCTCTTAATCTGTATGATGCAGTCAGCTTGAACATACAGTCAGGGTGGACACACTTGATCTTGTACCTTTCCGGGTTGACACAGTCCACCTTAAAATCAACCGAGTTGAGCATGTGGAATTTTTTTATGGCTCTGATGCATTCCTCTCTGTTACGAAACTTGTCCTTCTCTTTTAAATTTTCATCCGACTGCATATACGGATTGAAAAATAAGTCAGTAGAAGGTTCATCTCCGCCCATGTTGAGGTTTGTCATGTGCGGAGGTGGTGTGTAGATTTCATTTGCAAGAATACTAGGTATGCCATCATCGTCGGAATCATCATTCACCATTTCATCAAACTCTAACTCGTCATCTTCTTCTTCTTCTTCATCAACTGCATCTACCTCAGCTTGTTCATTCTCCAAAGGATCAACCACTTGTGTCACCTGAGGCTCTCGCATCATAATGTACAACTCAATAGAGTCGTACCCATAATACACATGGCTGGAAAACATATTCTGGAGATCCTCGTCATCTTGAACTTCAACCTTATAAAAAATTACTTGGTTGTTTCCAAAAAAAACTGGATTCTGATAAAATATCTGGGTCACCGGGCCTCGTCCAAGTTTGGCCTCCAATCGTTTTTTGAAGTACGAGAAATTGGCTTTCCCGTTTAAGATAAATCGGATGTTGTCTGTGTCTCTAAACAAAAACCCAGCGGTGGGACAAATATATGTCTCACCGTTGAAATGTGCTTTGACGACATATTGTGGTGCAGAGGCCATTGCGTAGGGTTGTTTGAAGGTTTGAAGGTTGGAATGTTTGAATTTTATGAGTTATTCGAAGGTTGGAATGTTTGAAGTTTATTGATTGTATGAAGGTTTGAATGTTATAAGGTTTGAGGGTTGGAATGTTTGAAGTTTATAAGTTATTCGAAGGTTTGTATGTTTGATTGTTTGAAGGTTTGAAGGTTTGATTGTAAGAACGTTTACAGGTTGGAAGATTTGACAGATTAAGTGAATCAATGTTATGATAAACGTAAGACTAAAAATCTCATACTGAATTTCAAATAAGTAAGGATGTAACCCCCAAGGATGCCAATAGTGTTACATGCATGGCATCCCAAAGGCTGTCACCTAGCCTGCAACCAAAGACACCTCTTATTCGCCAATTGGGATGGCGACACCTTTCATTTTTGTACTCTTTCGCCAAGTCCAATGGCGCCTCCCTTACTGTCCAATCGTGTTACATGCATGCAGATATGTAACTCCCTAGGATGCCACCTAGCCTGCGCCTACTCTGCACCTACACTATATGTTGTAAGTATCCTCCCATCACCTCTAATAAGGTTACATGCATTCAGGCATGGCATCCCAAAGGCTGTCACGTAGCCTGAGCCTAGCCTACAGCCAATGACACCTCTTATTCGCCAATTGGGATGGCAACACCTTTCATTTTTGTACTCTTTCGCCAAGTCCAATGGCGCCTCCTTTACTGTCCAATCGTGTTACATGCATGCAGATATGTAACCCCCTAGGCTGCCACCTAGGCTGCGCCTACTCTGCACCAACACTGTATGTTGTAAGTATCCTCCCATCACCTCCAATAAGGTTACATGCATTCAGGCATGGAATCCCAAAGGTTGTCACGTAGCCTGAGCCTAGCCTGCAACTAATGACACCTCTTATTCGCCAATTGGGATGGCGACACATTTCATTTTTGTACTCTTACGCCAAGTCCAATGGCGCCTCCCTTACTGTACAATCGTGTTACATCCTTAGGCTTCCACCTAGCCTGCAAGAGTGACACCTTTCATTTTTGTACATGCATGCAGATATGTAACCCCCTAGGCTGCCACCTAGCCTGCAAGAGTGACACTTCTCATGCATGCATGCACCAGCTACCACCTCACTCACTCTATGAAATTTTTTTGCCTATAAATACATACCATATCATACATCTCTCACACCCACACAAGTCTCACTCTCTGCTACGAAATCTTTCATAATCTCTTACACTTTCTAAGTCTTTCATACTCTCTTACACTTCCTAAGTCTTTCATAATCTCAA